GGAAAAGCACAGGCTCAGGGGTGATCTGATAGCCACCTATAAGTGTTAGTAAAGTTCTTTTGCGCTTCATTGATAGACCAGGGGGAGGAGTAGGAGAGAAGTTAGTAGGATGCTTAGAAGCCATAATGGGGATGGCAACTATAGAAAGATGTGTTGCAGACAACAAATGACGGGCACAGATCCACAAGAGACTATATTTTGATACGCTTCGCTCGCGCAATGCACTGCACAAAGCAGCTGACTGTGGGCTTCCACCACACCAATCGCATAAGAGTGCAGATAATGAATTTTTGGTATAAAAAGAGTCCTTGCATACGAGCGAATTTGCACATACAGAACCTGCATAAAGCAAGGGAAACCTGTGCATGTTTTACACAATTTACTGTTTAATTGCAAAATTAATCTACATTGGCTACATGTGAAAATTAACTAAATCACACCATAAGAAGCTTCATTCAGCTACAAAGTTAGAGCTAATAAATTTGTTACACATTTTCAGCTGGTTTCTATCCAGCTTTAAAATTTGATTGTGGAGCAAGAAGCTATACGCCTGTGGTTGGGGGCTCCTAGCTGTGGGGGTGCATCATAAGCTGCTGCATGATCCTGGGCTCCCCCTGCACCAGCAATAAGGTGTGATTGGTTCTGACACTGGATCCCACAATCACACCTCCTGCCATGCATGTACAGTACAGCAAGAGGAGCGATTGTGTGGATTGCACATGAGATCCTATTATGCCCCCACCTAGAGGGGCCCTTAAACCACAGCTACAGATTTCAGTAAGAGCATCCCAGAGAATGTTCCCTTTTGTCAGGGAGATATGTTGGACTCACTTCATTGACATCCCCCATGCAAGATGCTCTAGTCAGAAATGTTCAGTTATGAAAACTTAAATCAGAGCATAGTAATTTGGGGCAGGGCTCTTTGGTTTTTTACTCTAATTCTTGCTTTGAATACCACATGCCCTGGGCTAAAGCCCTGGATGAACCTGAGTTTCTGAAACTATCTATCTAGACCCATGGAGAGGGCAATTATTTGGGCTAGAGGGCCACTCAGAGTTTTGGTGCAGTGTTGCAGACCAAGTCAGAATCTTCATTCCTTTCTTCCCTCAGGCTGCAACAGCTCACCAAAACTCCTTAAGGGCCCAGCCCCATGCTGTCACTGCCTGGTGATCCTGGGGTCTCCATGGAGACTGGCATGGGACCCACACAAGCAGAGCACGCTCAGGTGGACAGATGGGATGGGGACACAAGTAGGTGGGGAGTGGTGTCTGGGAGTGGAATGGGCAGACAAGGCCAGGGCCAGGATCACAGGGCAGTGACAGCGCAGGCCATGGCAGAGCCACAATCCACTGTCCAAGTGAATTACAGATCTGCCCCATGCCTTGGCCCCCAGCCCAGTGCTATCACTGCCCTGCAATTCCAGCCCCAGCCATCCTGCTCCTGAATGCTGCTCTCTGCCCTCTCATGGGGATAGGTCCCATCCCATCTACCCAGCTAAGTGTGCCCTGCCTGCATGGGTCCCAGGCTGGTCTTCATGGAGACCCCACCCACCTACCCAGTCTGGCACCCCCCAGAGGTGGGTGAAGGACAGATGGGACAGTACCCAGGGTATCAGCTGCCTGCCTGGGTGCAGTGGGTTGCATGCACCACTAGCTGCATGGACCATTGTTTGGACTGCACCCTGAGCCTGGGCCAGGATGAGGGATCCACTACAGGCCAGATAAAATTCCTTGCTGGGCCAGATCTTGCCCACCTTGAATCTAGTCTAGCCACCTTTCCTATCTTAAAATCCATAGAACAAGATCAAAGTTTCCAGTTGGATAATTCAAATGGTAATGACAGGAGTTCAGCTAGGACATCTACCACAGAAATTGTTCGTCACCCCCTATCCCCCGCCAAAAAACCAAACCAACCCCCCCC